CTAATTGTATCTGAGAACCACATCGATCTCATTAAATTCACAATATAACATGAAATTAGTCATGGTCAGATGAAACTTATCAGCTGACGAACATGCTTACCTTACAATCAGTCCATTTTCCAAAGATAATTGACCCATCGCTTATAGTAGCTGATATATATATTTAATGGACCATAAAACCTAAACTTTAATCATGTATCCCTGAAATGAGGTTAAGGTCAGGTGAACTCTCGATGAAATACATTTAGACCTTGCATTACAATTTATTCATTATTGTACTATTATATGAAAAATTGTCATGACTAAAAAAAAACTGTAGCTTTTTTTTTGCAGTTACTGAGGTCAAGGACAAAGGACATGTGATAACAACAGGTATCTTTATCAAAGGTACTGAAATATGATATAATAGTATGACAATAAAAATAAAATTTCTCTATACAGAGTTCTAACTGTCGCTGTATCAGCATCCATATGTCTCGCATATATGTCTTTTGTCACAAAGCTAAAGATCTTTTATTACACATTTGTTTGTTTTTATAGTGATGAAGATAATCAATTTAACACAGTATTGACTGCTGTACACTTATTTTTGACATTTTTACCTATTGTGTCTGGTTGTTTTGTTCACACATCATTGTCAATTTGATGTAATTTAATGCGACTGTCATCAAGTGAAAGATTTAACTAGCTATAAAACCAGGTTTAATCCACCATTTTCTACATAAGGAAAATGCCTGTACCAAGTCAGAAATATGAAAGTTGTTATCCATTCGTTTGATGAGTTTAAGCTTTTGATTTTGCCATTTGACTAGGGACTTTCCGTTTTGAATATTCCTCGGAGTTTGGTATTTTTGTTATTACTTTTTATATGATAACTCTAACAGTCAAGTCACAATAACTGATTTATACATTATGCTCTCACGTTGAACTGTTACACCACTGTTCCATGTTAGGGGGGAGGGGTGGGGTTGGCCCCAGCAAACATGTTTAACCCGCCACATTCTGTACCTGTGTGTTTCAAGTCAGGACTGTAATTTAGTTGTTGTCGTTTGTTGCTTTAGGGAGCTACCATTTGATATTTATGGGGGGGTGGGCTAGGATGAAAAATGTTGTCCTGCATTTTTTTTTATTTGTAATCTCTGTCCTGCCTTATTATTTTTCACTCTATTCGGTTCTGCCTTTTTTTTTTAGTTTATCCTGACTTTTATTTTACATAAATTGTCATCCTGCCTTTTTTTTTTTTGCAAAGTGTCCCATCTTGCCTTTTTTTTACTCAAAACTCCTGTCCTGCCTATTTTTTTTTTAATTTCATCTTAGCCCCCCCCCCCCCCCCCCCCCATAAAAATCAAATGGTAGCTCCCTTATATCATATTTGTTTTTGTATGTTTTGTACATAATCATGCCGTTAGTTTTATCATTTGTATTGTTTTACATTTGTAATTTCGGGACTTTTTATAGCATACTAAGCGGTATGGGTTTTTACTCATTGTTGAAGGCCGTATATTGACCTGTAGTCGTTAACTTCTATGGAATTGGTCTATGGTGGAGAGTATTTTATTAGCAATCATACCACATATTTTTATTCTAATATGTTAAACATTAAAAGTCTATGAAATATAAATGAAGGTGCTACGTTAAATAACCTATGTGGAAATGAGAAATCCCAAGGCTAATGCAACAGACTTATCATAAATGGTTCCTTTCAACTGACTGCTTCACAATCTTTAACATGTAAATATACATACGTTTCAGAGTCAATAGCATAGGCGGATCCAGGGGGTGCCTGGTGGGCCCGGTCCCCCCTTTTGTGGGAAAAATTTGGTTGATTATATAGGGAATCACTGAAGCATGACTGGAGCGCCCCCCCCCCCCCCCCCCTTTAGGTAAGTCCATGCACCCCCCCCCCCCCTCCTTACAAAAAGTTCTGGATCCGCCACTGAATAGGCTATGACTGACAGGGAGGGACTATGTAATATCTTTGGAATTGAAAAGTTCTAATACTAATTAGTCTAATACAACTGCATACCAAATATCATTACCATTAGTGGTTAAACTGACCTAATCAGAAATTTTAATGAGTAAAATTTGCAGAATTTCAAAGTCAAATGACGATAACTGAAAGGAGGGCCAAACAATCTCAATGGAAATGAGATGTGCCAGTTCTAGCACCTGGCATGCATAAGCCTCATATTTCGATTTTGTTCAGATGACAATAAAACTGACCGTAAAAGGAATGTATCTTGTCTAGCATATACCAAGTGCAGATATTCAATAAAATGAATAATTTTTTTATTGTGTAATTAAAGTAAATACAGAGTGAGAACCCTGTGATCAATAGCAGCTTCATGTTTATTTGTTATTGATAAAATTGAGAATGGAAATGGGGAATGTGTCAAAGAGACAACAACCCGACCATAGAACAGACAACAGCAGAAGGTCACCAACAGGTCTTCAATGCAGCGAGAAATTCCCGCACCCGGAGGCGTCAATCAGCTGGCCCCTAAACAAATATATATATACTAGTTCAGTGATAATGAACGCCATACTAAACTCCAAATTGTACACAAGAAACTAAAATTAAAAATAATACAAGACTAACAAAGGCTAGAGGCTCCTGACTTGGGACAGGCGCAAAAATGCGGCGGGGTTAAACATGTTTATGAGATCTCAACCCTCCCCCTATACCTCTAGCCAATGTAGAAAAGTAAACGCATAACAATACGCACATGAAAATTCAGTTCAAGAGAAGTCCGAATCTGATGTCAGAAGATGTAACCAAAGAAAATAAACAAAATGACAATAATACATAAATAACAACAGACTACTACTGTTAACTGACATGCCAGCTCCAGACTTCAATTAAACTGATTGAAAGATTATGTCTTCATCATATGAATATCAGGCACAATCCTTCCCGTTAGGGGTTTAGTATCATACCATCATAACATATATGAGAAGAACATAACCCGTGTCATGCCAACAACTGGTTTTTAAATAAATGTGTTAAGTGCCGATGCAAAGACCCTATAAGTGAATCAATATTAACGCCAAAATATGCAATCTTTAATGACCTGACAACAGTATCGTAGCTATATCCCTTCTTAATAAGTCTATTTAAATGTTTTGTTAGCTTCAGAGGTGAATACTGACATTTTTGTGCTTTATAAAGAATATTTCCATAAAAAAATGGATGTGAAATACCTGAACGTATAAGAAGTCTGCATGTTGAGCTATATTTACGAATGATGTCCTTATACCGATGATAAAATTTAGTAAATGTTTTGACTAGTTTGTGATATCGAAAACCCTGGTGTAATAATGTTTCAGTAATACATAAATTTCTCTCGTTAAAATCTAAAACATTTTTACATACACGAGCGAATCGTACAAGTTGAGATATATAAACACCGTAAGATGGTGACAAGGGAACGTCACCATCTAAAATGGATAATTAACGATAGGAAATGAAAAATCATCTCTTTTATCATATATTTTAGTATTAAGCTTTCCATTAATGATATAGATATCAAGATCGAGGAAAGGGCAGTGGTCATTGTTAGTATTAGCTTTATTTAAAGTAAGTTCAACAGGATAAATTTCTTTAGTATACATACTGAAGTCGTCATTATTAAGAGCCAAAATATCATCCAAATATCTAAAAGTATTATTAAATTTGTGTATCAGATGTTGTTTCGATGGGTCTTTGCTGATTTTTGTCATAAATTGTAACTCATAGCAATACAAAAAAAGGTCCGCAATAAGTGGTGCACAGTTAGTCCCCATTGGAATTCCGATAACCTGACAATATACGGAATCTCCAAAGCGAACAAAAATGTTATCTAGTAAAAATTCAAGGGCATATATAGTATCAAAGCATGTCCAATTGACATAGTTTTTTTGTTTATTGCTACTAAAAAATGACCTAAAAGAGTTTGAACATATATATTCACTTCTGACTTTTTAAATGCCCATTTAATTAGGTGTGTGAATTTTTTCTTCATGAGAATGTGAGGCAATGTGGTATATAGGGTAGAAAAATCAAAACTTTGAACAGATTCAAAATCACCAATATATGCATGTAATTTATCAAGTACTTCCAACGAGTTCTTGACACTCCAAAAGTAATTAATTCCACTATTTTCGAAGGCCTTATTTGAACAATTTATTATCAGGTTTTTGATTGTACCAAGTGTACTGGTAAGAAGAATAGACAATTTAGTAGTGGAACAATGGCTTGAAGACGAAATGAATCTATATTTGTAAGGTGTTTTGTGTAGCTTCAGAAGCCAATACATAGTTGGGACTTTCATTGTATTTGGTTCTGCATGTTTATGTTCAAGCTTTTGTTCGATACTGGTAAAAGGCATAGCTGTATTATTGTGATATTATTTCTTGGTCACTGGTACTATCACAAATCTTTCTAGGAGATTCTAATTGACTCTTAGGTATTGACTTTGTTTTAGCAGAATTATTTTCGAATAAATTTACTTTTGAAATGTTTTATAAAATTGTCAACATGATTTCTGCTTTTTTAAAGGAATAATCCAATACTATTGTTACTTTCCTGTTCTGTGTCAAGATTCAGGTTTATAAAATAAATGGACTTGTCTTCATAAGTCTTTCCAAATAATTTTGTGTTGGTTTATTCTTACATTAACTTTTAACTGCCACATGTGGAGCAGGATCTGCTTACCACTCTAGAAACGCGAGATCACCCCCAGTTTTGGTGGGGTTCGTGTTGCTTAGTCTTTAGTTTCTATGTTGTGTCTTATGTACTATTGTTTTTCTGTTTTTCTTTTCTTTTTTAGCCATGGCATTGTCAGTTTATTTTTGATCTGTGAGTTTGAATGTCCCTCTGCTATCTTTTTCCCCTCTTTTTTCAACTGTCTGGTATAGTGAATTATGGAAAGGTTTCAACATGGCCACTAACATCATATCTAACCCTTAAGTATGCATGCCCTTTGTGAAGTTAAATGAGAAATAAGAACTAAAAAGCAATATCAGTTCATATAAATTCATTTTATTGATAAATTCTAATAGATAAATCTCCAGTCCAGCTGGAGGTATTGTAATCTACAGTTAATAACAAATATATATCAAAATGTAACAGAATGTCATTGAATAACTTTACACACATGAATATTGAATGTTACATTATCATCTCAAATCACAATCCTGATAATTGTGGGAAAACAGAAAGAACGTGTTGAATAAATATTGCAATTTGTGAGATAAACATCAAACTAAAGACAAACAATTTACATAGAGACATTGTAGCATTGAACAGACAACAGATACTACAGTATTACTTAAAACAGATACTAGACGGATCTTAAAAATTGGACCTTCTACAAAAAAAATTATTGGAACATGGATGTAGTTATGAAAAGCCATTTCTATTGATTTCTTTTTTGTCCATCATTCTCTGTTATTTAATCTCTCTCTTAAATCAGCATCCCCTTAATTTCCTTTTCTTCAATTTTGGGCACACATTTTTTGTATTCTTTATTTTTTGGCCCATTATTCTCTACTTTGTTGGACTTTAAAAGAAATACTGACTAACTAAATTGTTATCATTCCTTATCAATGACCCACCTATGATAGAAGGAGAATTATAATTTAAGGTACAAACATCCTTCTGCCCCTCCATTTGTCTGTCCCACATCAAGGTTAAGGATTGGTTTTAGGTAGTTTACTATGTATGCCAAATTATGGTTTTGATCTAGACTATGTGGTTAACTGAACATACAAATGTGATAGCGTAAGCAAGCATGGTGTCCTGTGAGACACATTGACTTTTTTTATCTTCCTCTGATTCAGGAATGAAGGTTTTTGATATATATCTAAAGTAAAGGGCAAAACCTTAGATGACATTGATTAGCATTGCACAAATATTTTTAAAAAATTAACTTATTCAAAAATAGAGTATTATAAGACAGAAAATCAATGTACAATGGATGCTCAATAAGCACATAATAGGACACTAAGTTAGACTGCAATAAAATGTAAAGTAACAGAATGTTAATTTGTCAATTATGTTTTAAATTAAAACAAGTCATACAATGACAACAAAATGAACAAATGCAAGGCAGCAATAATTGCTTATACTGAATATGGTTATATAATGAAATGCTAAATATATATATTAGATGAAATATTAAAAATTCAAAAGAATTTTGATTTGAAAAGATTGTTATGTTCAAAGTCTGAACTGAAAAGATTGTTATGTTCAAAGTCTGAACTGAAAAGATTGTTATGTTCAAAGTCTGAACTGAAAAGTCTTTGAAATACTTTAAATATTCACTTACATCTTCGAGAGAGAAAAAAAACAGAAAATCTCTTTAGTTTCACACATATACAAATCTGTTACATTTTTACAGATTTCTGAGCTAGAGCACTGATCATAATACAAGAACCACTTGAACATTAAAAGAGACCTGTTGATTATATATTACTATGGCAAATGATCTGGTTAGTTCTTATATGCCCGCCCTCAATTAATTACAATGTACTTGCAAATACAAAAGAATGTTTGAAAACCAATGTTAATACATTTTCACAAAGTGCATAAAAGATGCCTTAAAATGCTGGTATAGTTATATATATTCTTATATCATGATGGCTATACTAAACTTTGTGATTTTCCTTAAATTTACTCCAAATCTTGTAAAACATTATTAAACAGATATCTTAAATTATAAGTACAAAATTCTGTGAAAATTAGGCTGACTTAAATGACTCTCACGCTGTTATTTTTCGTCAATCTTGTCATCTAGACATGCCACAAACAGGAACAACAACTCACTGGTTCATAACATACTCCTGTTCTCATTCTGTTATCTAACACGCTGTCTCTCTTCACCACGTTAATAACCCAGAATGGTAACATCAAAAAGAAGAAAACTGAAATAAAATATCATTTTAATATTAAAATTTAATATGCTCTTAAAACTATAGGAAAAAGAATGTCCAGTCTATAAATTCAATTATATTGTATACAAATCTGCAATACGTCAAGCTTGTTTAATCAATTATTACATGTTTTCTTGTTTGTTCTACTGACACTATATTTTGCATCATAAATTCATTGCATTTAAATAGACGCCATAATTTTCATTCGCCATTTCATTGTACATTTCTGATGCACAATGCTTTAGATATTACTTCACAGAAAAGAGTCCAATGAAGTGATTTACGTAGAGTGACCTTTGGTCAACTGGCATAACTTAATCATTAAAAAACTTAAAATTTGTCAGCATCATCCAAACATATATGCATTGATAAAATTTACTCGATTTTTCAGATTTTGTAACACAAAAAATCTTATAATTTTCAATGGAAATCAATTTTCCATCATAGCCACCTTTTGTTACTGTTTAAACTATCTAGGTTTCTGAATTTAGTGGCCGAATTTTACAGAAAGGACACTTTTTCTGCAGAAACAGTTGGTACACAATGTAATTCTTTGTACGACTTCTAAACTGGAGTATAAATCCTGTGTAATTATATAAATAGTGTGTACAATTAAGACATTTTGGTCCAGAGGGTTAATGTTTCAAGACAACTTCTCTTGTAACAGAAGCTGTACCTTCAAACATTATCACAAAATGTTATCTTAAACTTCCTTTTATCTTCATTTTGTGTTTTCCCAATAAACACATATAATCCTTACTATATAAGAGAGTTTGTTTCAACCTGTAGCCTGAGAAATGCTTGAAACCCAGTACTTTTAAATGTAACAATTGAAGTCTCACTTAAAGTCTACTCTATACATACATGCTGAAAAGTTCACTAATTAATCATTTGGCCCTTAATTGATGAACTAATTGTGAATTTATATATGAAACTTACTAATGCTAATAGCACACACCCAGCTGTACCCGTAACATATCTGGTATAATTCATCTGTTGTATTTTTCTGTAAAAGCATACATAGAGTCGAGAATGGAAACATGTATATATCATATTTTAATTTAATCACCTGTTTTGTACTTCAAGTAAAATTAATTATTTCCATCTTTGAAGCTAGTTTTTAATTTACATGTTCAAACTTAATGCTAAAGTTCTGTGCATTTCATGATAAAGCTGATTTCTTTTTTCTATTACTTTACACATATATTCTCAAACTATCTATAGTTTTCCTGAAAAGCATTTTCTTTCCAACCATACTTCACAGGAGGTCTAAAAAATAAAAGGTTTAAAACTAACTTGGATAAGAAGAATTAATAGAGATAATTCAAAACTTGTGAAACTACTCTTATCAGAACAATTGAATATTTTGGAAATGCAGTTTCTTGGCTCTTGTAAAAGCTGAAAATCAATTTTAGAAAGAAGTATTTGATGATTGGGATGATCAACATCAAATCCATGCATGAAGCTAGCTTTCATGAATAGAATTTATAAGATTGCTTAAAATTTGAAGATTTTACTATCGCCAAAGGAGAACAACCAAAATTTTGATATATATGAAAATTTACAATAAAAATTCCTAAAAAAGTTTAAAAAAATTCCTTGAAAAAAAACTTACACATTCTGCAGCTTGTGATGTCAGCCCAATATGTACCAAACCTTCTATGAAACAAATAACGCCAAAAATATGGAAGACAAATTTGATCAGTCTTGGTACTGGGTTCATCAACATGAACAGTAATGTGAAACCTGAAATAAAAGTCCCTTACATTATGTATTATAATTAAGGCATGTTCACCAAGTGCTCAGCAGCTTTATCAATGACAAAAGCATGAAATAAAGGAACACATACATCCATAAACATGCAAATACATTCTTATCTATTATAATTTTAACGTTTCCAACAAATCTGACTAAAATTCTTTTTTTATAGTAAACTGGTATTAGAAAAACTGTAGTCAAGCTCTCAAATTCCTATTCCTATTCCAATATTTGTTTCAATACAGCAAAGTCAGTAGTTAACCTTGGAAATTCAAAAGTTAATGATAAAAAATGGCTAACTCCTCCTACAAATGTATGTGGAACATAGGAAATCTCAAAATGCATAAGAGCCAAAACCAAATTAAGAGGCACACAAAGCCATTTTTTATTCCGCTCATGCCGGTGCTAGGGGCCGTCTTAAACTTGCAGTGAGGTGAGAGTTTTTTTGCTCCATGTTGAACCTCTCACTGTGACTTTGAGATGAAGGACAGTAATAAAAGCGCTGTTCCTTTGCTTTTTTGTGTTTTTTTGCTTGCATGTACTGATTTTGTGTCGTGGATGGACACCCCATATCCTTTTTTTTCTATTAAGCTGATAATTATCTGATAGTTCCATGCATTCCCTCTTCTGTAGAAATATATATTTAAGTAAAGATAATTAGATTTACCATAATGTATAATTGCTTACATTGATGTCATTTGAACTCCGGTGGATAGTTGTCTCATTGGCAATCAGACCACATCTCCTTATTTTAATATTGCTAAGATATCATAAAAAAACATTGGGAATTTGACCTGCTACATGTATATTATAGTAGTAATACATGTATAACTTATTACCTTATATATAAGGTCTGTGCTTTTCTGTATGTTATCTGGTTTTAAATACCAATAAGACTAATTGACATCAAATTGTAGCTTAAAAAACACAATTTATCCATAAACTAAACCATATCAATTTATTTTCCAAACACTCTAACATAGATTATACACAACAAAGTGACTGAACTACTATCATAAAACCATTATTTAGGAAGTTGAACTGCTTGTAAAAGATTTTGTTATATAACCTCACCTATTGCAACAATGGTGAAGACTATGGATACAATAAGAAGTTGAAACAATGGCTGGATACACCATCTTGTTGTCTTCTTAAGGACCAGTACATAAAACTGGGGTACCAGTAAGGCCAAGGAAAAGATGGCCAACAATATAAATCTGGAACGAAAATATTATAAAAAAATCAGTATTTAGAAAATCATAACACATGAATCTTTAACATGTCAAATATACCAATTTTTAGGAAGAAATCAATTCTTTATTGATTTATCAAGAGTAGGCTATCACTTAAATAATTTATGACAGATGTACTAAACTTCAAATCTGTGTGTATGTCAATGAATAAATGATTCAAATAGTCATCATAAAAACTTTTCAAAGCTAGAAAATATAAATATATTGTGTACATTTTCTTATGATTAGAACAACAGAAAAGCATGAAAATTCATGAAATTTTTAAAATGATCTAAAACCAGACATCACATTCATGGACCTTTTTCTGGGGAGAAGTGTGCATTTTTATGAATTAATCTTGATCTTCACTTGCTTTGTTTCCTGTGCTTTTTTGTTTTCAGATGTTCCTTAAATATCCATTGTACTACTCTTAATTTCTACATGTAGGCAAAATGTTAATGAAACATGGACATGGTATCAATACATGTAAATAACACACTTGGTCTCCTCATCAATAAACTTATTGTTGCAATTCATAACAAATATATGTTTGAAATGAAAATTTGAATATTGAAAATAAGCTTCATGTAGCTTAAGTTTAGCTGTAGCATGCTAAATGCCATGCATGCTTAGATTTCTTATCATGTACATGAAGTATAAAGTACATTAACTTAATATACAATAAGGGTTAAAATTTCATAAAAGCCAGACTCAAAACATAATGCAAATCATATGTTTTTTCTTGAATGAAAATACTATAAAATTGGTATATCCTAAGATTTTAAAAGTCTTTCCAGAGAAATAACAGACAAGTTTTCTAAGTTTTTTTGTAATGTCAACTACCATCCTTGAATCTATAAGTCCATACATAAGCGTTATTAGCCACTTACATTTTCTTTCTGTTGTCTCTTGGAAACCATCTCATTAGATGGTAAACAAAGTGGGGCCAAAAATATTGCCACATTTCTGCTAATAGCTCTTTGGATGTTTACACTGAAAAAAATAAATGAATAACTGAATTAACAGACAATAGACAATTATAACAATCGGTAAAGGCTCAATTCAAAGTACATTGTGTTAGCATACATTAATTTTTTTATGAATGGCAACTCTAATATCAATACATTATAGGTTGTATACAATTGCAAGTTAACTGAATGTTATGTAAATCATCTAACTTTAGACATTTCAAAAATGTAAAAAGAACACATCTTTACTATCTGTATAGACTCACTGTTTAATAATAATGCTATTTTAACACTAATGATCCTTGTTGATATATATATGTATAGTTTTAAAATTTAAATAGTTTTAGATATTTTTTGTCTAAAGAGTTTCTCTTTCCCTTTTATAATTTGACAATGCCACATGAAGTGGTATTCGTCTTCACTTTTATTTTGCATACATAATTTACAAATATTTCATTTCTAGTAATTTTATTATATCTCCCTCTTTCAATTTCGAGGTTACATGTTTGAGCACTTAGTCTCATTTTTGCTACCATAGAGTTGTCAGATTTCAAAGTAAGTTGATCAACATAAGGTTTACATTTGCCTATCATCAAAATGTTACGAAATTTTTCAGAATAAAATTTTTTAGAATTTTGCTCTTGTAGGTTTTGATCTACAATGTACAATGCACTGATGTAATTGATTTAAAAGGGTTAATGAGTAAAATTTGATTTCTTGGCTAAGAAGGGGAATCCAAGTTTTTGAAAGACATGAAACAATATTGATAACCCTAGGCTTTTTTTTCCCAGTTGCCTTAAGGTAATCATGTGCTAATTAAGGTATTTTCAGACTTGACCAAATTATCCAAATATTTAATAGAGGAATGATGATCAGGTTTGTTCTTAGGGGAGTCTGAATAGCTTTGCTCTACTGTCATCATTAAAGGTTTTGCAATCATGTATCTCTAGGATTTGTTTAATAAATTTGGCCCATATACATTTTGTAGTTTATGTGTAAAAGTTTGAAAGGATCAGAGTAGATCAAAACTTTCTCTCAATGAATTAAGAGGGATTGTTTAGTCCAACTGTTTTGGGTTTTTTTTATTCTTGAAAAAAGATATTCTTGCTTTTTCCATAAGTACATGTATTGAAATTGCTGTAGTAATTGAATAGTATTCAATTTAATTTTCATGTGTGTATTATCTTTTTATCTTTGATTACATTGTACAATCATATATATAAATCAGGGATTAAGATAAGTGTATTTTCATGTATTCAGTTTTATCAAATGAATTTGGTTTATATTTCATCACCACCATACATGTATATACTTTCATGTCTTCAGGTGTATATAGTTGCTAAAATTATACCCTATGGGTAGTGCTCCACAATTAATGGAGGAACACACAAGAAACTGAACTGAACATGAGTCAGAGGGATAGAGCTCTATTAGTGACCCAGTTTGGACCAATCTCCCAAATGACTTATAATATCCAACTCAAAATATAATTCCCCAAATGGGATATAAATACACTTAACACCCTATGGGATTCTGTGTCCATATCAATTTTTCTAATTTGACCACCCACTAAGGCTGAAAATCACTCTGGACTCCTGGTTGTTATTGAGTTTGAAGATGCTTTTTATTAGGAAACAATCTAGCAACTTAATTATTCATTTTCTGGAATAGTTGGTTACTTTTGACCTAAAGTTGGCTACACAAATGTTTTCAATATTTTTGCTAAATTTATTAAGATTTTGTGCACTGTACTTAAGATTTAAATACAATTTGGGTGTTACTGTCGAAACATAATTGTGGTAGTTTACATGTTTTTCATGTCGTTAAAGGTCGCAAACATCAAGCTTACCATACTCTTGATCAATTTTATGAAAATTTTTCGAAAATTGTTGGCAAGCACTTGTTTACAAATGGCCGCTGACAAGAAAGACAACTCCAATTAAGAATGCGGGACAACTCGGTCCGGAGACAACTCGGACCGAGTCAAATCGGACCGACATATAAATCAACTCGGTCCGTCTATAAATCAACTCGGACCGTCTTTAAAGTCAATTCGGTCTATGATGACAACTCAGACAAAGTATTAAAAAAGGATTTGAACTTTATTCATGATATAAATTATTACTGAAACTACTATAACACAGTCAGTATGTGTTATAGTAGTCTCAGATTATTATAAATCAGATTGATTTTGATTTTTGGTGTTTTAACGCCACTTTTAAGCATTGCTTTTGGACTATTTCGTGGCGGCCAGTTTTTATTGGTGGGGGAAGCCGGAGTGCCCGGAGAAAACCACCGACCTTCGATAGGAAAACTGACAATCCTAGTCAATTAAGATTGGAGTCGAGTGCACCCGCACGAGCGGGGTTCGAACTCACAACCTCAGTGTTGACTGGCTAGTGATTACAGTAGTAACTACTTAGACCACTCGGCCACCGAGGCCCCATTATAAATCAGTAAATGTTATATTTTACCTGACAATATTATTATTATTATGTTGCTGAATTTGCATAACATAATAAAAAAAAGTGTATAATGTGAATTCAAATGTTTACTTATCTTTATCAATTTATCCAGATTTATCATACTGAAATTTAATTTAAGCAAACCTGGGAACAGTATATCTAACGATATATACACAGGCACATGTCTCAGGATATATATGTTAATTGTTTCACTTGACGACCATTCTTTGCAGTGCCACATATTAGTAATATCAGTCCCCAGAGCTCTGATTGTTTCCCTAATCTATAGTTTGAAACACTGCTAAAATACATCGGGTTTTTTTCGTATTGAATAAAATTGAGAATGGAAATGGGGAATGTGTCAAAGACACAACCCGACCAAAGAGCAGAAAACAGCCGAAGGCCACCAATAGGTCTTCAATACAGCGAGAAAATCTCGCATCTGGAGGCGTGCTTCAGCTGGCACCTAAACAAAAATATGTACTAGTTCAGTAATAATGGACGTCATACTAAACTCCGAAATATATAAAAGAAACTTAAAATTAAAAATCATACAAGACTAACAAAGGCCAGAGGCTCCTGACTTGGGACAGGCGCAAAAATTCGGCGGGGTTAGACATGATTTTTGAGATCTCAACCCTCCCCCTATACATCTAGCCAATGTAGAAAAAACAAACACACAGCAATACGCACAGTAAAACTCAGTTTAAAAGAAGCCCGAGTCAGATGTCAGAATAGGTAACAAAAGAAACTTAACAAAACGACAATGATACATACATTAACAAAGGACTACTAGCAGTTACTGACATGCCAGCTCCAGACCTCAATTAACCTGATTGAAAGATTATGTCTTCATCATATGAATATCAAGCAGAATCCCTCCCGTTAGGGGTTTAGTATCATACCATCATAAAATATATGAGAAGAACATAACCCGTATCATGCCAACAACTGGTTTTAGAATAAATGTGTTTATTTCCGATGCAACGACCCTATAAGTGACTCAATATTAAAGCCAAAATATGCCATCTTTAGTGACCTGACAACAGTATCGTAACTATATCCCTCCTTAATAAGTGTTTAAAGGTTTTGTTAGCTTTTGAGGTGAATGCCGACATTTTTGTGCTTTGTAAAGAATATTACCATAAAAGATTGGATGTGAAGACTGTCATGCAGTACAAGTTGCTGTGTGAAATCTAAAACGAAGCATTTGTAGCATTGGTTTACTTGTGTCTACATCTTGTTGTCTGTTATACATGGAATGCCTGGTTTTTTTTTCATAGAAGAAAGTGTTTTTTTCTGAAATTATTTCTGTTGCATAAATTATACTTGTATAGTATATAGTCATGCCTGGTAAACCATCAGATCTCAACCAAAAGGTTAAGCGAGAAAAAAGTTTACTGGCACTTCCCGTTGAGCTTTCCTGGTACAAAATATCAAAAATATGGATAGGGTAAGTCGACTTATTGAAGATGTAACGTATTGTTACGTATTGATGAACTCATTGTCATTTTGTCAAAAAGTCACTGAGCTGTCCGCACTGACCTGCGGGAGAAAAGTCATTCCGATGTCATTTTAAATCACATTTGTCCGAGTAATGAACGAGACAAGCTCTCATTCAGTTATCTATGGCATGACATTCTCCTAAAATATTTACAGATTGACAATAAATTGGTGAAAAGTAGACCTACCCTATCTATATTTTTGATATTTTGTACCAGAAAAGCTCAACAGGAAGTGCCAGTTAACTTTTTTCTCGCTTAACCTTTTGGTTGAGATTTGATGGTTTACCAGGCATGATAGTATAATTTATGCAATAGAAATACGACGTAACAGGAGAAAATAGTCGGGGAAATTATATTTCATACTTTTCTTTCACTAAAGTTGTACAGTTAATTATATTCTAAAAAGCAGCAACTAATCAATTCTTCTTTATTACTTGAAAAATTTTTTTTTAATTTCTTTGACGAAATCAAAATTCACTATAAATGTTTGCTGTTCGACATATTTCGAAACAAAACTATCCGGGACCAATCTAGTCTAAAACTGTTATTTGGACCAGACACGTATTATTTCATTGAATATCTATAAATCAGATTTGTTTTATACTAAATAATTTCTAATTGCTTTCTTTTGTAAATCTTTCTCGAGTTTGTGCTAACGTAGACTAGTCCCTTTTCAATTATCCTCACATCTTATAGACACTACATTTCAATGAATTTGGCTTACGATGCTCGACATTGGAAAAAATATTTGAGGACTTTTACTTCTATTTTGCAACTGTGAGAAGTGCTAAATTATATATTGTTGTGCAACTAACATAATGCATTATAATTTACACAGAGGGGCCTCGGTGGCCGAGTGGTCTAAGTAGTCCATGCAGAGATATTGTATTAATTCTAAATTATTATACTAGATGATATGCAATATAATTGAGTTCGAATCCCGCACGTGGCAGGTGCGCTCGACTCCAATCTTTATTGACTAGGAGGATTGTCAGTTTTCCTACCGAATGTTGGTGGTTCTCTCCGAGCACTCCGGCTCCCGCCATCAATAAAAACTGACCGCCACGAATTAGCACAAAAAAAAAGGTGTTAAACACCAATCAATCAAAATATAATTTACACTATAAAACACTTGTTTGGGAAAACCGTGGAAAATTGATTTGGCCAAAAAATGTAGCTAACTGTAACACTGATGATTTCTTTTTTTCAAATACATTTATTAACTTTAATAATGCAAAACCTCACATGGTAACATTCTGTGAGAAAACATATGCCATCCAATCATAGTTAGCTGACTGGAAACATTATTCTGCATCACTTCAAACAGATATTAAGTCTTGTGTTTAGGCAAAACTAAAATGAAGTCGTCTTCTGTCTTCTGTGAGAAAAAAACAGAGTTGGTAGGCAAAATAGTTTTATTTTGAAGACTATATAAGCAGTGCTTAAACCAAAATTTGACAGACTTCAAAATATCCACAAATGTGTTGTTTAACCATGTGTATTAAGAGTAGATATGGAGGCAGGAAACTGAACTATATTTTGTTTGGCTTACTCTAAGAGATCCTCAAATGTCCTTTGCCTGACGGAGAGGCAGCAATTATAACATATTTTGTATTATATTGACTGAGTCGAAATTAACAAGGACTGCATTCATGGTTTCGTTAGGACGGAGGCCAGCGTTATTCATGACCATGACCATGTGACACAGATAATCTGACTAAATTCACGACAATTTAATGATCTCTTGGATAAATAGCACACAGGATATACGTAAGAGTAGAACCAGATAAACTGAGTGTGTGACTATGTGATAACTAGGTCCCTTCCATTCCATTGGTTATAATGTATTAAAATTACATTACAACTGATATTGTGCTATTTTGCTATAAAATCATCTCTACTAGTCTGTACCTCAAAATAAAAAGGATGAACAAATTATCCCCATAGTTTGAATTATACAGTGAAAGGACATCATTTATTTAATATTTAAAATTTAATGATATATGTTTTACAGTTTGTAACTATTCCGAATCTTAATAACGCGTTCGTATTTGTATCGTATTGTGCATTAAGTCAAATGTTAATGCTAGCGTACTTTAAATCTTCTTTTGAAACATCTACACATAAAAGGAAAAATTCGGCAACAAGTCATCAACAGTTATTATTTCTTGATTGCAAACAAAATGTACATGATCCAACTGGAAAGATGTCTCATGGATACATTTGGCAGACCCAGCAATACATCGTTACTTGCAAGGAAGGTCGTGTATAGATATCCAGTAGATTGAGGGAAGTTCCAGCTCCAAGTCATCTCTAACAGTTAAAATCTTAAAAGAACACAATACAGTCCCGTAATCGATAAGGAATTCCTTTACATCATATCGACTTATTTTTGTTGATGTTGTCTTGGGGGGCTTCCAAATTAACTGTCGACACCTAATTCTATTAGAAGTTCACACAATTTTAAGAAAACTCAATCTTTATCGTGCACTGTGTACAAGCTTCTTTCATAGATATTATATGACCTTGAACTTTGTGGAGCAGGATTTGCTCACTTGATATTGATCAACATGTTTTAAAGTAGCATGACGGGTGTTGCGTGTGGAGCAAGAACTGCTTAAAAAGCTGAATGAGCTGTTTCAAAAGTGCTTAAAACAAAAATAATCTATTCTTTACCAAAGGACCTCTTGCCTGAGTCTTGGAGCCAAAATGTTGAAACATTAAAGAAATAGAAATTCATAGCAAGCTTGAAAAAAGGGTGCAAGACTAGCAAAAACACAAAGACCAGAAGAAAACAAAAACAACTTGCAAACATTGCTTTAAACCTTGAGGGATTTTTTACAAAACATACCAAATATGCATTCAAATGCATTGATTTTCCAAAAAAGGGGCGGTTCCAACCCCCAGAACCCCACCATTCCAGGATCTGCCACTGAACTCCCAACACACACAATGAAATTATTGCTATGAAAAGGCTTTCTATATTTTAATGTACAACATCAATTTGAGGCAGCTATGTGGTAGAAGATATAAATTGTGTGACAACAGTAAAGTAACTTGAAATACTTCTTCCCATTTATCATGTAACAATAACCAATGAAAAGTGTAAACATGACACATTTTCCAGACATTTCCAATTTTATTGTTCCAAGAAATTCTAAACATATTTTGTCAATGTATAACATGTATAAGAAAGCCCCCAATCTGCAAGCATTCATAACTATTTGACCAATTTGCCTTTTATCCATATTGGTGAACAGGGTTAGCAGTTCTTAAAAGATTTTCTACATTCTACATATTTTCACAGGGCTTTATTTATAATTCCCTTGTTGATAGTTTTAACAACAGTCACAAAACTCTTTTTTGAAAGCTTATAAAGAACCCTTGCGTAAAATATGGTTTCAACAGGTTCTTCGTCAATAAAGATTAATATTTTCTAAATTAGTCAACTTTTACCATCTCAAATATAATGGAACTGGCAAAAATAATTTTAGATGACAGGAAATTTAAGACATCAGGACTAATATTATAATACATATGTACAAATATGTAAATTAAGGCAGACTTTTTGCTTTGAGATAAGATGAATTTTGAAATAAGAGTTTGAGATAATGAGAGTCAGCTGTATTTTTAATAGATAAAAATTTAGAACTAAAACAATCATGATGTGTTGGGTAAAGTAGCATAAAAGTTTTAAAAAAATATTGTTTGAACAAGATATGGAAACTTTCAATTTTGGTTCCTTTATCTAAAGTTTATAACGACAGACATATTGGTTGGGCTCTGCACCATATTATCATTATAGTTCTAGCTGATTCAATAGGTTTCAAGAAGGTTATTCCACATATTTGGTATAGCTATATTTTCACCAAAGTATGCTTTGACCTTCATAAAGTGATGTGATTACATAACACTTCAATTTGGGGTCCTCATTGTGGTCCGTACTTAAATCATATCGATTTCATTCACCATGATTTGGATGGAAAAAAATAAATCCAAATCAATGTATTTTGAATAAAATATTGTTTAAACTAAACACATTCGGTTGATTAAAATAGTTTTTTACTGTATACAATTTTTTTTTTTCATTGCTAATTGTTTTGTACATAAATGAAGTCATTGGTTTTCTCATTTGAATTGTTTTTCATTTTGTTGTCAGGGCCTTTTATAGCTTGCTATGTGGTGTGGGTTTTGCTCATTGCTGAAGGCTATAAGGCAACCTTTAGTTTCTAAAATCTACATCATTTAGTCTCTGGTGGATAGTTGTCTCATTGACAATCATACCACATCTACTTATTTTATACTGCTATATTGCAAATCTGCACCCCTTTACAGACTGCACTTAATATTGTAGGTTTTGAAATAAGTAGTTTAAGAGTTTGCACAAACTTTTAAAATTTCACTGTTCTATAACACTGACTACAAAATCCTCAATATCAAATAAACAACTGTTATTCTTATGAATCATTTTTATTTTCATGTTTGTGTTTGTGCTTTTTAGATGGAAGATGACAATCATTAACTGTTGTCTTGTTCTCATTGTCCTCTTCATGTTTTCTTTTATGTTTTTTTACTTTCTTCACACCTTCCACATCTACACAAAGATCAGTGTCATTTTCTACTTTTGCACCAATGTGTGAATCATTGTAATCAATTTCATCTACATCTGTATGTTTATTTTTCTTGTGTTTAGATTTTTTATGTTTTTTAGTAGACGATAGTTCCTCATTTTCTTCACAAACAACTGCCTCATTGAAACTTTTATCAGAATCACATTCTTCTTCTTTTTTCTTATGTTTCTTCTTTTTCTTTTTCTTCTTCAAACTGACTATTCCATCATCATCATCTTGCACATTGGATTCCTCTTCTTTTAATTTGGACTTTTTGTGTTTCTTTGACTTTTTAGCCTTAGATGCCATGTCAGACTCCTCCTCAGCGTTTAAATCCACATCATTTTTTCTGTTGGATTTAACATTATCTTTTCTTTTAAAGCAAGCAATAAAGAATCCATTTGTTAAAGACGTTTCTGGTGTCATTCTTAGAAAATGATCTGAATGCTCATAGCCTTCTATCCCTCTTATCGGCCAATCAGGCATGATGTTACACAAATCAAACATTTCTTGGTATTTTTCGTATACATTTTCAACAACTTCTTCATTTTCTTGGGAATGTATTGAACAAGTTGAATAAACGATTGTTTGAACATTTGGGAACTTCATGGCTTGTTCCAAAATTAGTGCCTGAAAATTTGAAAGGCTCTCTAAACGATCAGCAGCAGAGGAGTCATCATCATCTGTGAACTTATTCATTCTGCTCACTATTCCTAAAAACAAACCAAAAACATATAAGTTATCATAAGGATCATTCAGTCCAAGTTTGGTTGAAATTGGCCCAGTGCACTTGGTTTCAGACGAATAGAATTATTTTAAGTTTATGAAGTAAAAAACCACAAAGATGACAGACAAAAATCATGACAATGATGACAAACTCCCAAGTAATAGCAAAAGCACATATGGCACACAGTGCCAGTTTAGTTGATTTATAAAAATAAACTAACATGGCAACAAGATTTAAATTGTTTGTATTACAAGTCCTGCTCTGGTAAAAGTGCATGGCCCTGATTAAGATTTTACTGATTATCTACCACAATAATGGTTTTGATATATGGAAACCTTTCCAAATTTGCAAAGAATTTTGCAAGAAATGATGGTGCTGGCATGGTGAAAACAATGAATATGGTTATATTTTTTATCACCCCCCCACCCCCTTCCCAAAATAATGGTCACCCATTCCAAATTTTTCTGAATATTGAACTTATTAATGGTTTTGATAAGTACAAACCTTTATAAAAATTTGAAGGGTATTAAACAAAACAAAAACTGCTAGCATGGAGACAACAAAATGATGGCGATCAGGTCAAAAACATTATACGCTCATCAATGAAGCATGGGGCTATAAATATCCCTATAACTTATAATGTTAACATGTCTTTTGTTTGTTTGTTTTTTTCAAGTGAGAAATTTAAATCAAAAGTTATTTACCTGAACCACTACAAGAAGGATCAACTAGAATATATTCAACATCTTTGTACTTCTCATCATCAGGATTGACTCTTAGAAAGTCCTGACACCTGGTGATGACACAGGTTACACCAGCTACAGATGTAAGCTTCTGGAGTGTTGCCATTCTTCTTCCATCTTTGTCAAATGCAAATATCTTTCTGTAGAAATATACCATTGATGAGAAAGCTTAGAAAATGCAAGGTTAACTGAGGTACCAAATTGTATTGTTAAACTTAATTTTTTATCATTAAGGTCTTTTCCCTACATGAGGAAAGACCTTATTGTTTTTCTAATGTTTTTTTTTCTTTTTCTTTTTTTCCCCAACATTATTTTGACATGAACTCCCCCCCTTCCCCGTTTCTATTGCAGTTATCAAGACCAAATTTGGACCATCGATAGACCTCATCATGAAGTACTACCAGATGACCCTGTGTAGTATTTCATCATCCAATTTAGAAGTTATCTCCCTTTTTTCTTTTTTTTTCAACATGCCCCCCCCCCCCCTCATTGTTTTTAAAGATATCATGACCTTATTTGGACAAAAGGTAGATCTCATCATGATGTATTACCATATGAGGCTGTGAAGGATTTCATCATCCCCTTTGAGAGTTATATCCCCTTGAAGCAATTTCTTTTATTTGCATTTTTCTTTAAAACTATTACCTGGTACATAATAGAATAGATTTGAAAATGGCAACATGTACAGGAACAGATGGCAATGTTTATTGTTTTTCTTTTTTGATATGTTTATATATTCTTTCATAATTTCTGTAAATAAATGAATTGAATACAGATTTTCAAAGTTTTCCACCAAAGTATATTATATTTATTTTTTTGCCTATGATTCCTCTATTTTTGTTAAATTCCGAACAGAATGAATGAGGTGATTGAAATCACATTTACAACAATATAATCAAGTATTATCAAAATAATGAAATCACATTCACAACAACATAATCAAGTATTATCAAAATAATGAAATCACATTTACAACAATATAATCAAGTATTATCAAAATAATTCTTTTGCTCATTCTAATATGGGTATGAATTATATTTTTTTATATCTTTATACCATAATGATGTAAAATTAGAATTCAGCTTTTAAACTGCAGCAAATCATGTCTGGAAATGTATAACTTACCCTTGATTTTTCATTAAACTAGCCACATGACTGGTCTTGTTGCCAGGGGCAGCACAACAGTCAATGACAACACTTCCTTCAGTTGGATTTAAGATGTGGGCAGGAAAACAACTTGCCTGTTCAATAAAATAAAAACAGGAAATTTCAAAAAGTCGTAAGCCTCAAAATCCCTGGCTTAAACTGGCATATTAAGTGGATAAAAACAGTTTCATTCCTGAACTAATGTAGGTGTTTCCCATAGAAAATTAAAGGAAACATCAGTTTCTAAGCAAAGCAAATCTCCAACTAGACTTATAAAAGAACAGAGTTCCAATGTTCCCCATGTTGCACATATTTATCTATCCAAGGGCAATAACTTAACAAAATCATTTTTTATTCTTTAAATTTTTTTACAAATATCTTAGAGAAATGAAGGCTTGAGAGCAAATACAATGCAATTTAATTTTAAGAAACTTATATCATAGGTTCATATCAGCAATGTCTTTAACATGTTTTTAAATGAGTTCCAATCAATTATTTTTAAAAGAGTTATGCCCTTGGAAATATTAATGATATGGAAAATTGCATTGTCATGTGTACAAATTTTCAAGATTTCTATCAAATTTATAACAAAGGTTTATGACAGCAATGTCTCAGACAATTTCGAAAATCAGTGCAGATCAAATCTTTCTAAAAGAGTTATGCCCCTTGGAAATATTATTTTTAATAAGTTCAAGAAGGGCTAATATTGGCCGTAAGACTTTCATGTTTTTTTATCTAATCAGGCCAAATACTACAATTTCACATAGAAATGGTTGTGATATTATTATTTATACAAAATAACTTCTTTCAAGCACCTCACATTATAAATTATGAACCCTTGATAATGCATTAGTTGTTTTGTATAATCAGTTTTGGTTCAATTTTCCTTAATTCATAGCAATTTTTATCATAATTTACTTTGGCCCTGATCCCTAATCCAGAAAATGAATGTGTCTAGGGATTCAATATCAACCTTGGCACCTTTTGGTTACAGCATACTTTGGATCGTAGGCTGCGGCAAAGTTTTTCCTTCAGCTTTACGTTCCAAAAATGCATCAGATTATCTTATTTTGACAATTTCTCCAAAATGTGCTGACTTTGAAGCCTATAATGTACCATTATGAAGAAATTTGTTTTAACCATCATTTAAGCTTTTGAAATAGATCAATTTAAGAATGTATGTCCAGTGCACGATGTTTTATCGATATTGTCAACATCGCAATGTCTACTTTATCGTGTCATTATTGTGTTTACATTGTATCCTATCTATACCCTGTCTGTACATTTATTACATAGTAAACACTACGATGTTGACAATAGCGAGTCAACATCGTGTTTATATCGTATAACATTTATTTAGTCAATAATATACCTTTGTGTTTGCATCGTTCACAATGTAGACATTGCGATGTTAACAATAGCGAATCAACCTCGTGTTTATATTGTATACTAAGTCTATACCTTTCTGTTTACATCGGTCACATCGTATGCATTGTGATGTTGACAATATCGTGTCCACATCGTGTTTATGTTGTATATAAATTCTATACCTTTCTGTTTACATCGTTCACATCATATACATCGCAATATTCACGATATCGTGTCAATATCGTGTTTATATTGTATACAAAGTCTATACCTTTGTGATCACATCGTTAACATCGTAGACATTGCGATGTTGACACTATTGTGTTTACATCGTTCACATCATCAACATCGTGTTTATATTGAATACAAAGTCTATATCTTTGTGTTTACATTGTTCACATCGTAGACATTGCGATGTTGACAATATTGTGTTTACATCGTTCACATCGTCGACACCATGTGTATGTTGTATACCAAGTCTATACCTTTGTGTTTATATCGTTTACATCGTGATGTTGACAATATTGTGTTTACATCGTCAACAGCGTGTTTATGATGTATACCAAGGCTATACCTTTATGTTAACATTGAGATGATGACAATAGCGTTTATCTTGTAAACTGAGTGAATGTCTTTGTGTTAACATCATTCTAATCGTCAACTCGTAGCTTGTTAGAGCCGAAAAATTTATATACACCATCAAGTTTTATTCTCTAAGTCTAGTTGTTACTTATTTCTTAGTCAAATTAGTGTGTGAGTTTACTTAAAAAAAGTTGCTATTTTTGTGATTCGTATAGTATTTTATTTATAATTATATGTAAACATCAAATAACAGTTCAAATAATATAAATAATGTTGACACCATATAGTGCACACTATAATGCAAACGATGTAAACACGATATTGATAATACATTGTATACATTGCGATGTTAACGATGTCAACGATGTAAATAGTATATAAGAGTTGTTACAATGTAAACGATGTTGACACGATATCTTGTTAACACTGTTTATAACGCAATGTAAACGATGTAAACACTATATCGTTACTACATTGTATACATTGCGATGTATACGATGTAAACGTTGTAAACAGTATATAACAGTTGTTACAATGTAAACGATGTTGACACAATATCGTGTTAACATTGTTGATATTGCCATGTAAACGATGTAAACACGACATCTTTACAACATTGTTTACATCGCGATGTTAACAATGTCAACGATGTAAACAGTATATAAGAGTTCATACAATGTAAACGATGTTGACACGATATCGTGTTAACATCGTAAATATCGCGATGTCGACAATATTGTTTTTACATTGCGCACTGGACATGGATGCAAATTGTGGCCCTTATGATATTTTATGATAAAGATGAAATCAAGCCATATTTTGCCCTTAGTAAACCTTGTTCTTAACAAGACTAACAACGGACAGCATATGATATGTGAAATAACTGTTCTGCAGCAATCACAATACACTTTTATAGTTTAACTGAATTTTAGGCTTGACGTCTCATTGATCAATTGATTGATTGTTGGTATTGATGCCACTTTTCTGCATTCTTGGTTACATCATGCAGTTTTTATTGGTGGAGGAAACCAGACAGTTACAGGGAGAAAACTATGACCTTCAATAGGAAAACTGGCAATCCTAGTAAATTAAGATCAGAATCAAGAAATCCTATCACAAGCACAGTTTGAACTCAACACTGCAGTGTTGACAGTGACTGTTTATAAACTACTTAGACAACTCTGCCACCTAAGCCCTAGGTCTCATTGAGGTATACCCTGCATCAAGCCTTAGGTCTCATTGAGGTATACCCTGCATCAAGCCTTAGGTCTCAATGAGGTATACCCTGCATCAAGCCTTAGGTCTCATTGAGGTATACCCTGCATCAAGCCTTAGGTCTCATTGAGGTATACCCTGCATCAAGCCTTAGGTCTCATTGAGGTATACCCTGCATCAAGCCCTAGGTCTCATTGAGGTATACCCTGCATCAAGCCTTAGGTCTCATTGAGGTATACCCTGCATCAAGCCTTAGGTCTCATTGAGGTATACCCTGCATCAAGCCCTAGGTCTCATTGAGGTATACCCTGCATCTTTTTTATTTATTTGACTCTTTATTTGTTTGACTGTACATCTCTTTTTTATTCTAATTACTATATATTTTGTTTTTACTATTCTCAAGATAAGAAATCAGCAAATAATATCTACATTTTTCTATTATTATTCTCACCTTATCTTGCAGAATTATCTCCCCTTTTAACATTAGTTCATGGTCATGAAAATCAGTCCCAGGTGGAAAAACCAAAACATCAGGTAAATGGAGATCTCTTGTAAAATGGTGCTTCTCAAACTCTTTTATAGTTTTTCTAAACCTGAAAACACATGTTTGTTTGCAGAATGTTAAAGTTTTGATTGATGCTAAATGTCCAGCAGCAAATATCACAAGCATATCCTAAATTCAGAAATCATTGCCATGTTTTTTATAAATGTGAAAAATGTGACAGTATCAGATTTTCAATAATAAAAACTTGCATTCATAGTTTCCTTTACAAAATTTTTGCAATCATCAATTAGATTTAGCATTTTTGCCAGGTTTCAACAATTTGTAATAATAAATGCACACATTTATTTATAATTTTGCAGTATTAAGAAATATTATTATCCAATTAGATAAGACTTCACACTCAAAAACTTAGTATTCCTTGAATCACCTTTCCTGCTGTCAAACTAGCAAAGTACACTTTCACTGTTGTAAGATTTATCAATTATACTCTCACTGGTGTAATATTTAAATGTACTCACATTTGTGTACAACTCATAAGGGCTCTCATCTGATTCACTGGGATCGCATGTATTTAGATTCTATAATCTTACTTTTCATGTTGGTAGCATTTGAGACCACATATTCCCATTCTGATTCTATAATCTTACCTTTTCATGTTGGTAGCTGGTGAGACCACATATCCCCATTCTGATTCTATAATCTTACCTTTTCATGTTGGTAGCGGGTGAGACCACATATTCCCATTCTGATTCTAATGTTGATATAACTGCCTCCACTGTAGTCTTGATAAGGTTTACTCTTACATACCTTGGCAATGATATGTCTGTAAACAATCATCAATATATAAAGGTCATTCAAATAATATTTCTTAATCTTAAATGATCATTAAAACATTAAAGCTATCAAAAACAAAATGTCCACTTAGACATGACTATGAATCTTTTGAAATAACACATGAATGATTTCTAATTGTGTAAAAAACCTGCTAAAATAAAATCTGCTTACTTTACACATCCAAGCTTTGCTTACAAGGATCTGACAACACTCCGTTCTACTTTCTGTTTTGGTAATTATTATATTAGTTAATTTCAGCCTTCAAATTTTCAAAGATGTGTGTAGTTACAACAAAACCAGAAGATCCCTAAGGTCTTTAAAACAGAAAGCTTAAAGGAGAATTTTCAGATTATTATAGCCAAGCAAGGACATAAGATAATTTGTATTTCAATCAGATTGGTTTAAATACATAAAATAAAAATTTGGTGAAATTTACCCAATTTAAATATCACTGATCAATTCTTAAATCAACTTGCTATACAAAAATATAAACCTACACAACTTTTCTATTCATCTTTTTTTATGGGTTGTTAATTTTTCGATGTACATGTATAATCAACAAGTTCATTTATTTATATTGATGTCCCAGGTTTTTTATTTTCTGTTGACATAAAGTGCAGTAGTGATGGAAATTATTCTAAAGCCTTTTATAGAAAATAGAATTAACAAATACCAAGATGTACATATATTTTTTAAGGAACCAGTCTCATTTTGATAATGTACAAACCCTGATCATCCATGACTTCAGACAAACTAGTAACACCAGCTTCTTCACATATCTTCTGGTATGCTTTCTGTATATCTGTCTTGTGTCTGGTCATTGTTTGCTGAAATTTATCATAAATACTTTAGTTCAGTGATAATGGACGTCATACTAAACTCCAAATTATACACAAGAAACTAAAATTAAAAATGATACAAGACTAACAAAGGCCAGAGGCTCTTGATTTGGGACAGGCGCAAAAATGCGGCGGGGTTAAACATGTTTTTTGAGATCTCAAGCCTCCCCCTATACCTCTTAGATAGCCAATGTAGAAAAAACAAACGTACAACAGTACGCACAGTAAAACTCAGTTTAAGAGAAGTCAGAGTCCGATGTCAGAATAGGAAACAAAAGAAAATAAAACAAAATGACAATAATACATAAATAACAACAGACTACTAGCAGTTACTGACATGCCAGAAGACAGGAAGACTGTAAATGACAGTTACTAATACCAACAGAAATTTAGAACCTCAACTAGATATTTTACTATTTCTTATTAAGATTACGAATGATTACCTTAAGTCTTCCTGCTCTAACCAGGCCTTTTTTTCCAATAAGGAAATCAAACAGTAATGCCTCTGCTAAACTGTTGTCATATTTCAGGAGATGCTCTGTCTTCAGTAGGTCTACTTGGTCTGCTATATCTGATAGATAACTACCATATCTCAATGTTTCGCAAACCAAAGCAAGCAACTGTTTCTTGTTCTAAAAATATAAAATTTACTTTCATGACCATGGTGTGATTTCTCATATATGAGAAAAATGGAAAGCCACAAATATTTTTATCTTTTTAATTGATATATTTGAATAATGCATCATTCCTCCATGGGAATTGGAGCCATATTTTATTTAACCAACATTACAAACTTTTCAGTAATTGCTCCAAGGGTTTCAAAACCCTCTGCTGTTTCATATCGGGATACCTGGTGTGATATGAAGCATCTGATGAATTATGAGTTTTTCTTCATGTTAAATGCACCCAGACGGTACCTTTGGTAATCAATGGTAAATTCACCTGACAAGTTAGACATTGTTCAGATCTTGTTTCAATTAACTAAAGTCTATTTCATTCCTTTACAATAGGTACAACAAAATACTAAATTTCTACTTTCTGATTTTGAATAAGTTGAGAGGAGACAGGCTATGGAAACATGACATATTGTTTTATGACATCATTATTTTTTTAAGTTTTAAAGACAAGACAGGATCTAAGCTTAACTACAGAATTCAATAAAATGCTCCGCTGGGGCGCAGCTTGATACGACCGCAGAGGTCGAACCCTGAACAGTTGGGGCAAGTATGGACACAACATTCAAGCTTGATACAGCACTGAATTTGGATTGTAATTAAATATTTGACACAGCATAGGTTTCTCACACAGAATGAAAGTAGTCTAAGAACTTAAAATTTTTTAATTTACCTATTCAAACCATATCATTATTATTTGCTTTTATATATAAATCAGAAATAACCAATTTAAAATGGAAAATTTTAAAGAAAAAAAGGAAAAAAAAATCCCCCCCCCCAAATTTTTTGAAACTCCCTTATGATTCATCACCCCCAAACTCAATCCCAGCCTTCCCTTTGTGGTATGGTACCTTGCAGTACAATTTCAGAGAGATCCATACACTTGAACACAAATTATTGTCTGGAAACTAGAAAAATGCTTGGGTTTTTTGCACCTTTTTGGCCCCAAATTCCTAAAAGTTTAGGGCAATTACCCCCAAACTCAAACCAAGCTTTCCCTTTGTGATATGGAACCTTGCAGTACAATGTCATAAAGATCCATACACTTACACACAAGTTATTGTCATGAAACTAGAAAAATGCTTGTTTTTTTGCCCCTTTATGGCCCCTAATTCCTAACATTTTGAGACAATTACCCCCAAAAACAATCCCAGCCTTCCCTTTGTGGTATGGTACCTTGCAGTACAATTTCAGAGAGATCCATACACTTGAACACAAGTTATTGTCTGGAAACTAGAAAAATGCTTATTTTTGGCCCCTTATTCCTAAACGTTTTGGGCAAGTACCCCCAAACTCAATTCCAGCTTTCCCTTTGTGATATGGAACCTTGTAGTACAATTTCATAAATATCCATACACTTACACACAAGTTATTGTCATGAAACTAGAAAAATGCTTGTTTTTTGCCCCCTAATTCCTAAAATTTGGAGGCAATTACCCCCAAAATCAATCCCAGCATTCAAACCCTCAATCAGCATCATTTAACAGTAATATCTAAAAATGGAAATTACATAATAAAGGTATTAAAATAGAAAATGACATCATAGTCATGGCTAAAAATAAACAAAATCCTTAATCAGCAACATTTTACAGTAATATCTAAAAATAAAATTCCTTTGTAACCATAAAAGCCCATTTAAATACATCATGACAGATATTAAAATAGAAAATGACATCATAGTCATGGCTAAACATAGCAAAAACCTTAATCAGCATCATTTAACAGTAATATCTAAAAATAAAAATTTCTTTGCAACCATAAAAGTAAAATAGAAAATGACATCATAATCATAGCTAAAAATAAACAAAAATTTTGTTTATTACCAAATTTTAAATGGAGTTTATTAAACTAAAACAATAAATTTGCAACCATAAAACCCCATTTAAACACATCATAAAAGTATTAAATAATTCAACTACATCATAAGGCTATAAAAATAGAAAATGACTTCATAGTCAAGGCTAAAGGTAAACAAAAAACCTTCATCAGCAAAATTTTATATTGGCAAATTTCCAATGAAGTTTATTATACTAAAATTGTTGGCAAATTTCCAATGCATTTATTAACAATAAAGTTATTAGCAAATTTCCAATTTACATAATTTAAAAGCAGTGTAAGTGAGATATTTAAATGAGTTTGAATTACCAACCTTACACTGCTTTTAAATAATGTTTTGTACTTATTTGTCTATTAACCTGGAAACCCTTGTTTTTTCACCTTTTTTCCCCTTATTATTTAAAGGTTTGAGCCATAACCCTACCCAAAAGCCAATTCTTAAATTCCAATGTAACCTAAATTTACAATATACATAACTTCAATTTAAGTTTTTGATAAAATCAAACCACATCATTATTATTTGCTTTTATATCTAAATCAGAAATAATTAACCAACTTTAAGTGGAAAATTTTCACACATCACGCCCCCCCAAACTCAATCCCAGCCTTCAGTTTGTGGTATGGTACCTTGCAGTACAATTTCACAGAGATCCAATTACTTAAACACAATTAATTGTTGGAAACTAAAAAAAAATGCTTATTTTTAACCCCTTTTTTAGCCCCTTATTCCTAAACATTTGAGCAATTATCCCCCAAACTCAATTCCAACTTTCTCTTTGTGATCAGAATTAACCAACTTAAAATGGAAAATTTTAAAGAAAAAAAAAAGGAAAAAAAATCCCCCCCCCCAAAATTTTTTGACCCACTTCCCTTTGTGGTATGGTACCTTTAAGTACAATTTCAGAGAAATCCATACACTTGAACACAAGTTAATGTCTGGAAACTAAAAAAATGCTTATTTTTGCCCCCTTTTTTGGCCACTTATTAATAAATGTTTTGGGCAAACATTTTACAATAATATTTAAAACTGAAATTAATTTGTAACCTTAAAATTAAATAGAAAATGACATCATAGTCATAGCTAAAAATAAACAAACTATTGGTAAATTTCCAATGGAGTTTATTATATTAAAACAATAAATTTGCAACCATAAAAGCGCATTAAAATACATCATAAAAGTATTAAAAAAAATTTAACTACATCATAAGGCTATTAAAATAGAAAATGACATCATAGTCAGACTAAAGGTAAACAAAAAACCTTCATCAGCAAAATTTTATATTGGCAAATTTCCAATTTACATAATTCAAACATAGTGCAGGTGAGATATTTAAATGAGTTTGAATTACCAACCTTACACTGCTTTTAAATAATGTTCTTTACTCAATTATTTGTCTATTAAAATGGAAACCCTAGTTTTTTAACCTTTTTTCCCCTTATTCCTTAAACGAAAAAAAATAATTACCCCTTTTTTGACCCCCCCCCCCTTATGATTCATCACCCCCCCCCTTCCCCCCCAAACCAAGCTCAATAACAGCCTTGCCTTTGTGGTATGGTACCTTGTAATACAATTTTAGAGAGATCCATACACTTGAACACAAGTTATTGTCTAGAAACTAAAAAATGCTTATTTTTCACCCCTTTTTAGGCCCCTTATTACTAAACTTTTTGGGCAATTACCACAAAACTCAATTCCAGCTTTCCCTTTGCGAAATGGAACCTTGTAGTAAAATTTCAGAAAGATCCATACACTTACACACAAGTTATTGTCATGAAACTAGAAAAATGCTTGTTTTTTGCCCCCTTTTGGCCCCTTATTCCTAAAATTTCGAGGAAATTAACCCCAAAATCAATCCCATCATCGACCCTTTGTGATATGGAATCTTGTAGTACAATGTCAAAGAGATCCATACAATAACACACAAGTTATGTCTGGAAGTTACAAAAATGCTTATTTTCGGCCCCTTTTTGGCCCCTAATTATTTAACTGTTGGTACCATAACCCCCAAAATCAATCCCCACCTTCCTATTGTGGTATTGAACCTTATGGTAAAATTTCATAGAGATCCATTCACTTAAACTAAAGTTAGAGTGCGAAAACCATTGTGTATTCGGACGACGACGCCGGACGACGACGACGACGACGACGACGCCAACGTCATACCAATATACGACCACAAAATTTTTTTGCGGTCGTATAAAAAAGGATACCCCATCACAACACATTTTATGATCAGCTGTTAAACTGAGATTATAATCCTTCATGCACTTACTCATGTAGTATTCTACAACTCAGTAAAGTTTCATAAATATTCATCCTGCTATTCAGGGGAATAGATTTATCTTGCAATCATCCAACTAATGTACAAATAACACTAAATACTGTGTTTCTGGTAGATATTATGTGTCATTTTCTTTCCATCCTGAAGTATTGGGGGAACTAAGTGCTGTAGGAAAATAGCCATATCCAACTTTGCATTTCAAAAAAACAGAAGAATTAGTCTAAAACATAGAAAGTGTAAAGGAAAATGAAAATTCCTATGTTTTCCATTGAAAATTAATTGTTGGTTTCCCCTAAGATAAGAAAACTTTATATGGTCGTCAGTTAGAAAATACTTTTTATTTTTATTTCATTTTTTGTTCGTGAAAAATCAAACCAAGCACATGCAGTTTCACTCTATAGAGATTTTTTTCTTAAACCACTGACAGAAAATTCTTGACAAAAAATTTTGTTTGACATTATATTTTCATCTATAATTTGACATTAGCTGTAAATCAAAGTAACATTGACAATTGTCATGATTGTCTTGAAAGATAGTCTTGCTCTTTTTTTTTCTTGATAAAAAACAAAATTGACCTGGGAGGGTAAAAACAGGATACATGTCAACTCATACCCTATTTTTACCAGCTCGTACCCTATTTTTACCAACTCATACCCAATATTCTTTTAGCATGATTGTGGTTTGTCTGGGACTAATATAGTAACATTTCAGCGTGTGCACTCTTGTGGAATTAATCAAATAATGCATTATTAAGACAAAGAAGGTATAATCTAATATTGTATCAGACAAAATAAACAACTCATTCATTGTTTAAAAAATAGAAATAAAAAACAGGTATCTTTGATCTGTTATCAAGTGTATTAAATTATAATAATTTTCTACTAAGAAAACAATTTGTGATCAACACAATTAATATTTAACAATATTATTTAGTTTCAAGATTTAAAGAAAAAGGAAAGAAATTTATAGTCTCAATTGCAGTTTTCTCTTTTAAATACAACTTCAGTTTCTGTACAATTGTTCATTTTATCATTTTGAAATTATTTAAATATTTTTACATTTTTGTTATAAGATATAAGAAGATTTTCAATCTTTATTTTCAAACTGTTTCAAATTGGTAATGTAAGGCCATATATTATTGTAAATGTTGGAGCGAGTAGGCATACCTAATTTGACACATCTCTCAGTCTGTTTCCATTTACAATGTAATATCGGTAAGTATAAAATCAAGTGGATGTAAGCAATTATAGGCAACTGTAAGGCCCTCAACCATGAGAATAATCAATACGGTATAGGCGGCTATGAACATGATGAAAGGCTATTTGGTTATATATTGATAATTTTAATTGCTCTTCTTATTTTGAAATTGATCTAATGAAAAGTTTTTTTTATTGGTTTTTTTTAAGATGTTTTTTTTCAATGCAGCATAAGTCGTTAATTGTGAAGTGATGAACTCATTAGTTTAAACCTTTGTTGGTAAATAAGAATACATAGAACATCATCTCAAGCTTGAACAATCCATACATTGCCATAGAATATTGGAAAAGGATATTTTTTACTGTTTTTTATGTTGGACATTTGAGTTTTTCGTGATTATGTATACGTTAAAGCCATGCATTTTCTTTTCAGTGAGGATGTTGATTGTACAAGACTTTTAGTATGATTCAACAGACTTTGAGGTTCAAAGTCCACATTTATACCAAAATTTGTATTTCTATATACCGCTCTATGTTCATTTCTTATCTAAACAAACCCATTCTATTTTTAAAGGTCTATATTATCCACTAATGATCACTGATTAGTATATTGTATCATTATAATTATTTAATATGCATATCAAATAAATTTCTGTTCAAACAATTTCATATAATCAAAAATTTTAATACATTGTAACTATAAATATAATGATTAGCAAATTAGCTTTGGTTTGAAACACTTTTTTTATTACATCATATTACCAATCAAAGTTATATTTTATTCTATTTATATGTTGCTATATCATGTATATTATCATGATATATTGAACAGATATATCATGTTTAGGAGGGGTATTTGCGAAAAATACCAGTCGAGAGAATGTTAAATTTCGCGAGCCGTAAGGCGAGAAAATTCATTCCCAAGACTGGTATTTTTCGCAAATACCCCTCAAGAACATGCTATATCTGTTTAATTACACCGAATGTTAACGTTCAAAAACGCATTGATGATCGTGACGTTACAAGCGTCCAGTCAGATAGAGTATTTTTTGGCAAAAACCACGGCAGAGAGGGTAAAAAAGGCATATCCTTTTTGCATATACCCCGGCGGCGTTAAAAAATGAACGATATTCATATGATAACAGTAAATTGGTGAAAAATACACTGGCTATCAACCAATCAAAACCCAGGATTCTTACATAAGGTGTAGTTAGAAAGAAAATAACAACTATAATGTATATAAATAATAATGAATTAGTGGGTACGAGTTTGTAGATATACGAGTTGTTAAAAATATAGTCCAAATAATTATGATGTTTTAAAAGGCTATTTTAAATTTATTCTCTGATGGCTTCCTACGACGGTCGTAAGAAGGCATCACAGAAAAAAATTAATATAGCCTTTTAAGATGTCATAATTATTTGGACTTATATAATAATGTCACAAGTTGATTGAGTACAAGTTGGCCAAGGAATGTTTTGTTGTATACCCGTAAAAACAGACCTGGCAGGGTTAGGGGAAACCAATTATCTTTTTTGCTTGGCCTAATAAGACTAGCTTTGAGCATGTTGAGCAATCTCCTCTCATCCGTGTAAACGGAAAGCATAATTCTCATTAGAAAATTACATTGTTGCCTCTGGGAATCAAACCTGGGACACCTGTGAATGCAGCGCTCTATTCCGACTGAGCTAAAGAAGTACTTAATTCCCAACCTTAAATGTTAGTCCAAATGAATGTGACGTCTTGATCTTTTATTGAACGGTTATTTTTTTATTTTGTGCCTTCCTACATCTGTAAGGTCTAAATACCCCTCTAGTCCAAATAATTAGCCTTTCAAGACTTCATAATTATTTGGACTAGCTAGTCTATACCCCTCGAGATATCATGATGGGAGTTAAGTATCTACTTCTCAGCACATCTGATAGTAGCTATGGAACCGTAGGTCTTAGGTCCTTATGATATTTTTTTACTATTGTGGTCCGCAAATAGTAAAAAAAATATCATAACGACCTAAGAGCTATGGTTCCGCAGCCAATCAGATTAATCATTTCTGTTGCCTAAATAAAACTCAAGCGTGCAAAATAAGAAAATAATTATTTTGCAACAAAGCATATTAATCTTAAGACTGAGAGGTTTTGTACAACCCACTGTGAATCTTGTTGAACATTGTTACAAAGTATGTACCAGTGAACTTAGACAGTTACTGAGTTAGTGCCAGATCAAGTTTAAGTTCAAAAGCTTTATTTATAGACGAAATCATTATACTGAAAACATAAGCTCTATTGTCGTATTGAGAAATAGTGGCAATTATAGACTAGTGCATTTAAATTATGAGGAGAAAATGTAAATATAGAAAAAGAAGCTTCTTTAAAATGATATTACATCATATTGAGACAAATAAACTAGAGTCTTAACAGATGATTTCTTTTGCTTTACAGCATTTAAGACTTTTGCTCCCTCAATGTAAAGGTTCATCTTGAACAACTACACGTGCTTGGTGGAGTAGTTTCCCCTGAATTTATTATTTACATACGGGCATTTTCAAGATGTCAGCCTCCAGTAGTTTAGTACGTGTCAATAATTTTTTATAGTCTGTTATCCAAAAGTGTGTGCTTCAATCACTGTTTTACATAAATATGGCACTTTGTTCCACGAAGAAAGGTAAATCTGCAATTTCTTTAGACTAGGATACAATTGTTGCAAGCAGACAAAGCTAACTTAGACTTAAGGGAGCTACATGTACCATTTGATTTGATTTTAATGCCAATTTATTAATGGGGGCTAGGATGAAATTTGAAAAAAAGGCTGGAAAGGAGTTTTTAGTAAAAAAAAAAAAAAAAAAAAAAAAGGCAGGATGAACAACTTGGCAAAAAAAAAAAAGCAGGATGACAATTTATGTAAAAAAAATCGGGTTAAACTTAGTCCATAATTATTTGGACTGGGACTAGGTTAAACTACGATGCAGTCCGGTAAATCCGACCACTTAATGCTTTGATCGTATGTATTTCTGCTTAATTATATACAAATTGTATCAAATTTAAATCTATTCACTGACAAATCAACTTTGACTAGTTTATCTCATTTCCCCAAAAATGTCTGAAATTTTTAAAATCCTCAAAACAAGTGGGTCATCCGTGTTTTATCGGAAATGTGTTTGTCCTGTAAATCCACCCATGCACAGTAAATATGTATGGAGGGCACATTAATCACAAATTTATGAAAGTAAAAGGTGATCTATTTATTAATAGCTAGACCACTTATAAAGAGATTCCAGATAATCCAAAAAAAATTTCTAGTCAGAAATGAGTTTTGTAAGCAATAATATGATTATCGTTAGCTTTATATTTTCGTAATAAAGGATTATTCTTTAAAATTTGACATGCAGTGATGATAAGTACATTTCCTATGAATAAAATAGCAGACGAAATATTCACGGAATTGACAATTACCATGATTACGGAAGAAATGGGAGTGGGCGGGTTTACCGGACAGGCTTAATTACCAGACACTACTGTTATAAAAAAAATGCAGGACCGAATAAAGTGAAGTAAAGGCAGGACAGAGATTACAACTAAAAAAAAATACAGGACAAAATTGTTCATCCTAGCTTTATTTAGAGGGTAGGAATGCCCTTTACTGTCAGGCATCAAACAGTCATTTTTCGGCTACCATTAGCGTCAAATTGATTAAAATTTTACTGTGATTCGTCAAAATATCCTTATTGTGTTTAGTCAGAGGTCTCAAATAATTATCGATCGTTATCGTTATTTTTGTAAAAAATTTAACGTGATTCGTCAAAATCAGTTGATTTTTTTTTATTGTCTAAAAGAAAGTGTACATTTTATCGTCATGCACCAAAAATTACCGTTAACGCCATTTGGCAAGAATTTTTACCGTTATTCGTCATGAATGTTCTCCCATTACCACCCTCTATTTAGAGTCGGTATAGCAATACAATTACACACATAAGCTCTGAAGCTTATATTTATATCTGATTATAAATATAAAAAATGCATTGTTTTACCCAATTAATTTTACTAAATAATTAGAACTTCCTTGGTGCTACTAATATACCATCATAAGTAAAGCCACAGGGGCTCGTTTCATGGGAGATGAGGTTTTACTGCCAATGACAGTCACTCTCCAATTAAATGAGCCCTTGCATTGAGTATTAATGTGATAACATTGAAAATCTACACTAAAAAGTCTTTCTTTCTCTTGATTACGTTAAAATTCATCTGATTAATGGGGCATTTTAAACATACAAAAATTTGAACTTGTTTGGAACTTTTGAGTTATATTCCTCTTTCATGTCTGTATGTCGGAATTGTAAAAATTGTGATCACCGTGTACACATTTACATTGCAAGAAGTTTCCAAGGAAGAAAAGCTTCATCAGTTTTAATAATAAAAATTAAATTTCACAGCATTCAGATACAAGAAAGATAACTCATTTACAATTTTTCCTTAATTCCTAAGCATTTAAATTTCCTTCTAAAAATATGCCTACATACTTCTGACTTTAGATCTTATAGGTTTAGTTCATAAGGTACAAAATTTCAAAGAGGTCTTGTTAGGGGATTGGGGGAGGCTTTTGGTCATCATTTCCTGTATGCTGTTTTTTTTTTTTTTTAAATTTTTCTCTGTTCTGTATATATTTAAGCACCCATTATTCTCTCTTCTTCATTTTTTGCCCATTTTTCTCCATTATTTATTTTGAATTTTAATTAAAAAAAAAAAATTCTATTCTGTAGCACATAAGATCGTTAGACCATAAGCTAACTATTGGAACAGGATCCTTGACCAATAGATTAATTATATATATATTATGATAATAATTTTGTTAAAAATAAAGATTACATTTATAAGAAACCAACCTTTTCCAAAAAGATACTAGAGACCTTGAACCTTGATTTTTCTTCTCCAGAATCAATAGACACATATTCAGTTCCCTTTCCTTTATCTACCATCTTTACAACTATCATTTGACTATCATTCCATTTAAATATCATGAATATGATACTCAGATTTAATAAATTCTCGATCTTAATTTTTTCAAAAACAAAAAATTTCAATTAGTCATATATAGTGACATGAAACTAAAGTAACAATACAAAACCATTTATTTCTGATACAGTGGGATATATGTATCATGTTATCAAATTTGTACATACATCATGTACATGTAATCATGATCAGCCTGTCAAGAAAAGAGAAACTTAGGTAACAGCTAAATATGAAGTTCTAATTCAGATTATGGAAAGAAAACAAAATTTTTCTATATCAAAAGAAATATTTTGGAGTATCATCACCTGGTGTCAATCGGAAATAGACAATAGAAGCTGCTGCTAAAATTGATGAAAAGCTACAACTCTATCTAGTCACTGAGAAGTGCTACAATGTTTATATATAAGCAGCACATAAACAGTAACAAGAAAGGCTGTTAACCTGTGAACTTTTAGACGACAGCAATTTCAATAATTATAGTTATTAGGTTGATGAAGAAAACAAAAACTACATGAGACAAAACAGAAAACTGCACTTCCATTAATATTAGACCAGTACATCCTGCCCTTACTATGAAATCACATTCTCTCACACATTCCCTCCCTCTCTACATTCCACTCACAATCATATACCCTAACCCTCTCCATCATTCTATTTTTCTCCCTCCCTTTCTCACCCTTTCACCCTTTCATAACACCCTTAACCACCTACCACCTATACCCCTTCTGCTTGGTGTTAAGTCCCTATGAGAAAATTGGGTTAGTAGATGAATATGATATTATAAGATGTACCAGATATGGAAGAACATACATTTTAGAAATATGAAGAAAATTTAGAACTCAATGACATCAAACATAAATATATGATACTGAGTCACTTATAGAAATGTAGTCTTATTTTCTACACATAATGGTCATCATAGCATTTGTACAAAAGATTAACAGCCAAAGATATAGAAAGCCAAATTGTGTAATGTAAATTTGAAAAATAGAATGCTATTTTGATTGATAAACATTATGAATGCCAAAAGTGTATATTTAACTTTTAATTTTGAACTAGTGTTTTGGGTGTGTTGATGAAAAAATATGTTGCAAAAAATGAAAAAAACATAAAATAAAAAATGCCAAATGGTATAAAAATCCAAATAATTAAAAAAACATATAAAGCAAAAAGCCAAATGAAAAAATGCCAAAGTTTAAAAATGCCAAATGGTATTAAAAATACCTGTCTGCTTGTACTAGCCAGCGGGCCTGTGGGTTAGCTGGACTTTAAGGTGCTAGTTCACCAAGAAAAATGCCCCAGTAAGACACTTATCTTTTCCTTTTGGAGTACCAGTTTTTAAGTCTCCGATTTGACTTGGGGGGCTTAAACTTAACTGAGATAAAATTGAAAAATATATAAAAACAGTCTTATGTACAATTTAAAAATTTGGTCATAAAAAAAGTTAAAATATCCCCTTTGACCCCCATTCCCAAATGGATAAAAAAAATAGATAAAATATCCCTTTTTTCCCAATTAAAATGTAGATAAATATTTTTTTTGACCTAGCCAGCGCTTGAACAGAGCCTCCAAGCTAGGCTAAGACTGAGCCTCCTCATTCTCAGTCTGTACCAGTAGTAGCAGATACTTGATACGTATGGTACTAGGGGACGTTACTATACCTAAAAGGAGGTATAGCATCTGTGAACCCTAAACACAGAGAGCGGCTTAACTTCGCCATACGTATCATGAATAGTATCCAACTACTTCTTGTACTTGACTTTTAAGTCAATAGTTTATCCTGTGCATTATGTGTCATATTGCATACAACTTTAAAATATACAGATTGTACTTACATAGTTTACACTTGTATCTTATCCTACCACGTACTCTTCTTTCTTGTTTCTTTAAGCAAATCAATGAGACATAAACAAATAGATCTTCTCTACATAGTCAGTTACTACAGACAATCTTGATATCAAATTCTTATTACATGCATATGTGTCACAAAAGTGAAGTTGAATAAAGGAGCAGTTTACTGTTAATATGAGGTCAAGGTCGGGTAATTCCTATCTGATAGACATGTTTTATCAACCAAATATAGCTGACCTATTTCCTGAATGAAAAGAGTGGTAGAGTGCATTGAACCATGAAAATAAGGTCAAGTGCAATGGAACTACTTCGGATCATTAGGCATCTGCATATACAAAATGGATTTCCTTTATCTTATCTTCTGAAAATAAATCTATAGACAAAATTGTTAACACCACCAAAGGTTATTCATGTTGCATCTTCAGTGACTTGAAAGAGAGGGTTCACAGCAATCTTGATATAACCAATATATTAGTATACTATTACATGATATAACGAGATTGAAAAGACTAAATGAGAGAGTTCACAATGATCTGAATATAACCAGCTTGAAAAAGACTAAACGAGAAATTAACAGCTTAATCATGTGCAATTATTAGTTCAGTTTATAGAAAGATAAGAATTTTTTTTCAACTTCAAAGACAAGCACAGAAGAATCAGGCTATCAGCACTTGGCATCATTCTAAAATAGACTGTAAAGAAGCTGCTGCTTAATTTGATGAAAAGCTACAACTCTATCTAGCTACTGAGAAGTGCTACAATGTTTATATATAAGCAGCACATAAACAGTAACAAGAAAGGCTGTTAACCTGTGAAATTTAAGACAGTAGTTACTTATCATTCATGTCATAGGTGGATGCACTGTTAAATGACAAAAATAAAAAAACATGTAAACTAAAAATTTGCAAAGGACATTATGTACATTTTGTGGTTTATTTGGCCCTGTGAATTCACCCAAAATAAAACTGGTCTCTAAGTTGCTGGATCGTCCTGAATTTACATGAAATATTTGCTACTGAACATAAAGCAAACAGCAATCAATTAAATGATTAATCTATAAGTTGTTAGCCAGTATTTTATTCATAACAGGTAATGGAAACATCTGGTTTCAGCCATTTTCATATATTTGAACAAAAATTTCTTATCAAAAGTCTTTTTTTAATTTAAAGCTTACTAGAACGCACCCGTGAAATCGCGGGCATTTAGAGCGTGGTTGAAAGTATGTAAACTCTTTGTAGGATTTATTTTTGTAAAACATTTTATGACTGGAAAATTTCAGGAAAGGTATCAAAAGTCATAGGTAACTGGGGACAGGACAATTTTTTTAGCCCTCCCCCTTTTTTTCAAAATCCGTTATTTTTTTCTTTTCTATTAATTTCAATAATTTTCGCGTTTTTCTGTATACTAAGAACAGACATATACTATAATCTATATATATATAATATATGACTGCCGTTGATAGTAAACTTGGAATTGATAGTAAAAAGCAAATACACTTTATTTATAGTATATGTATGTTCATAGAATACAGAAAAAGCGAAAATAATTGTCCTGTCCCTTAAGTACCTATGAAAATTATGTGTAATTTCAAACAGTCCTAAACGGAAGTCTTGTGCACTATGACTTAAAAGTCTGTCCGATGATGGAAACAATATCCGTACGCCTTTATTTTCGTTTTCTTCCCAAAATAACCCAAACGGAATAATCATAAGCGAGGATGGCAAATGCGACTATGCATGGTACCTATAGGACACAGAGGCATGATGATTAATTTATTGTGGAAGGAAGAGAAGCGACACACAAAATGAGGTCTTCTCATTTAATAAAATTGAGAATGGAAATGGGGAATGTGTCAAAGAGACAACAACCCGACCATAGAACAGACAACAGCAGAAGGTCACCAACAGGTCTTCAATGCAGCGAGAAATTCCCGCACCCGGAGGCGTCCTTCAGCTGGCCCCTAAACAAATATATATACTAGTTCAGTGATAACGAACGCCATAATTAACTCCAAATTGTACACAAGAAACTAAAATTAAAAATAATACAAGACTGACAAAGGCTAGAGGCTCCTGACTTGGGACAGGCGCAAAAATGCGGCGGGGTTAAACATGTTTATGAGATCTCAACCCTCCCCCTATACCTCTAGCCAATGTAGAAAAGTAAACGCATAACAATACGCACATTAAAATTCAGTTCAAGAGAAGTCCGAGTCTGATGTCAGAAGATGTAACCAAAGAAAATAAACAAAATGACAATAATACATAAATAACAACAGACTACTAGCAGTTAACTGACATGCCAGCTCCAGACTTCAATTAAACTGATTGAAAGATTATGTCTTCATCATATGAATATCAGGCACAATCCTTCCCGTTAGGGGTTTAGTATCATACCATCATAACATATATGAGAAGAACATAACCCGTAAGATATGTTTATGTTTTGAAATTTGAAAATACAAAAAAGTATCATGGAAATAATATTACTGGAATAAGATGGATCTTGTATTGTGTTGAGAGTAAATACATTTATATTGCATAGTCTCCTACCCGTATATGTTTTGGATTTGTTTTCAGCAGTATTAGCTCGCTTTAGAACAGACAAATTTCCAAACTGCTTCTCCATATAAGTCAGACATCTGCCGTCATATTTCATTTCTAGGTGTTTTACTGTCTTCTGTGCATTAAACTTGAGTAACCATTATATACTCTCTTCAAAAATTAAAAAAAAAATGTTATACATGTTATAATCATGTGAAAATTGAAGGATAATAAAAATCCAAAATTTATATCTGTAACTAATCACTTGAACTTTGATAAATCAGGTTGTTGGTAGCTATAGATATAAAGATACAAGAACCAAAATTATAAGCCATAAAATAGCTAAATGTAGACAATAATTTTGAAATGAACTGACTGAGGCTATCTTATATATTTTCCAATCTTTTGATTCGTTTTTCAGGTTTTGTCCAATCATTGAAATTATACCATATTGATAGAAAAAGATGAACTGATTGTTTGCACATACAAGCTATCATGTGTTGTTAGTTGTCTTCGATTGCTCATCATTTTATTTCAAATGAGTTAAGTGTTGTATAATATCTTTACGTGCTAAAGTTTTTTTTTTAAGATTTTGAATAATTTTTCACATCAAACTATAGGAACGACCATTTAACTTCAAGCGGGGGGGGGGGGGGGGGGGGGGGGGGGGTTATGGTTTTTTCGTAAAAAGATATTCTGATCCCCAATTTGATGAAAAAAAATATTATGGTCAAGCAAGCATATGACAAAAAAATTATTCTGAATCCAGATTTTCCCCATAAGTTATAGTGTTAAATTTTGAAAAAAAAATAATTTGATTTATAGCGTATGAAACTTTAAAAAAAATTTCACGCTTTGCATGAAAAAAAAATTCTGACTCAGACAAAAAACCATAGCCCCCCTTCTTGAAGTTAAATGGTTGCTCCCTGAAGTCAGACATAGACCAAAATATGGTATCAAATATGAATAAATGCAAGCAACAGCATAAACCATTGTAAACATACAATTATCACAATGCATTTTAAACACATCAGTTTTTATACGACCGCAAAAAAATTTTGAGGTCGTATATTGGTATGACGTTGGCGTCATCGTCGTCGTCGTTGTCGTCGTCCGAATACATAATGGTTTTCGCACTCTTACTTTAGTTTAAGTGAATGGATCTCTATGAAATTTTACCATAAGGTTCAATACCACAATAGGAAGGTGGGGATTGATTTTGGGGGTTATGGTACCAACAGTTAAGGAATTAGGGGCCAAAAAGGGGCCAAAAATAAGCATTTTTGTAACTTCCAGACATAACTTGTGTGTGAGCATTTGGATCTCTTTGACATTGTACCACAAGATTCCATATCACAAAGGGTCAATGCTGGGATTGATTTTGGGGTTAATTGCCTCAAAATTTTAGGAATAAGGGGCCAAAAGGGGGCAAAAAACAAGCATTTTTCTAGTTTCATGACAATAACTTGTGTGTAAGTGTATGGATCTTTCTGAAATTTTACTACAAGGTTCCATTTCACAAAGGGAAAGCTGGAATTGAGTGTTGTGGTAATTGCCCAAAACGTTTAGTAATAAGGGGCCTAAAAAGGGGTTTAAAATAAGCATTTTTTAGTTTCTAGACAATAACTTGTGTTCAAGTGTATGGATCTCTCTAAAATTGTATTACAAGGTACCATACCACAAAGGCAAGGCTGTTATTGAGCTTGGTTTGGGGGGGAAAGGGGGGTGGAGGTGATGAATCATAAGGGGGGCGGGGGTCAAAAAAGGGGTAATTTTTTTTTTTCCTTTTTTTTTTGTTTAAAATTTACATTTTAAGTTAGTTATTTTTTATCACGAAGAGAAAGTAGGAATTGAGTTTTGGGGTTAATTGCTCAAACATTTATGAATAAGGGGCCAAATATTGGTCAAAAATAAGGATTTTTTTAGTTTGCAACAAAAACTTGTGTTCAAGTGTATGGATCTCTGTGAAATTGTATTGCAATGTACCATACCACAAATTGAAGGTTGTGATTGAGGTGGGGGATGATGAATCTAATGGCTCCAATGTTTAAGGAATAAGGGGAAAAAAGGTTAAAAAACAAGGGTTTCCATTTTAATAGACAAATAATTGAGTAAAGAACATTATTTAAAAGCAGTGTAAGGTTGGTAATTCAAACTCATTTAAATATCTCATCTACACTGCTTTTAAATTATGTAAATTGGAAATTTTCCAATAACTTTATTGTTAATAAATGCATTGGAAATTTGCCAACAATTTTAGTGTAATAAACTTCATTGGAAATTTGCCAATATAAAATTTTGCTGATGAAGGTTTTTTGTTTACCTTTAGCCTTGACTATGAAGTCATTTTCTATTTTTATAGCCTTATGATGTAGTTGAATTATTTAATACTTTTATGATGTGTTTAAATGGGGTTTTATCATGTTTATGGTTGCAAATTTATTGTTTTAGTATAATAAACTCCATTTAAAATTTGCCAATAAAAAAAATTTTTGTTTATTTTTAGCTATGATTATGATGTCATTTTCTATTTTACTTTTATGGTTGCAAAGAAATTTTTATTTTT